CATCGAGTAAATGTCGACTGTCGGCTAATGTACGTCGGGCCGACGTCGCACCATGTTCGATTAATGACTGTCGGTTTGGCGCGAATTCGCCAACGTCGGCCCAACGTTCAACATCGGGTGAGAGTCGGCAAACCTTACCTGGGATATCTTTAAACATTAATCTTGAACATAAAATCCTCATATTTCATATTATAAAAACTTAATTTTTAAATATATTAAAAAGAATTAATTTTTTGCCTTTCTCTTTTAAACATAATTATCTCATGTTAAATTAACTGTAAAATATACTATATCTATTCTCTCAGGTACACAAATAGTTAATATCACACTATATGTACAAACTCATGAGTAGTACTGTGTAAACTTTGAGATCATGCTGTAATAATTAAGAAGATAAACACTAACTTAATCAATATAAACAATCAAGAGCATACAAGCAACCACAAGTTATTTGTACCGAAAGTCATGTATTTATAACATAATGTTAACGATTAAAATTCTATAAATAATGATTATAAATATCGGTTTCGGCCGATATTTCGCCCTCTTCAGTATGTACCAAATAAAAAAATTTAAAGCATACGAATATTAAATACAATAAAATTAAATATATAACTTATAAATTAATTGTTTTTATGTAAGCAATTATTGTACATAAGAACAATTAATTTATAAGTTATATAATTATTTTATACTTTTGTGTTTTACATTTTTGAATTATTGTTAAGTTCGAAATCAATGCGTTTCTAATGACAACTGTGTAATACTGACTTCCTTAATTTAATTTTATTGTATTTAATACCCGTAATTCTTTAAATTTTTTCATTTGGAACATACTGAAGAGGACCGAACATCGGCCGAAATATTTATAATCATTATTTATAGAATTTTAATCGTTAACATTATGTTATAAATACACGACTTTCGCTACAAAAAACTTGTTTGGCTGAAAAGGACCGAATATCGACTATGAAGAAACGTCCGTGATCATTGTTTATAAAAATTTAACTAGAATAACTTGCGTTTGGCTGTATGCTCCTGATTATTAATTGTCATGCTGTAACTTTAATATCAATTTTCTTCTGCTTCTAAAACCATTTGAAAAAATTTTATTTCCATTAACTTTCTCTTTCGATATGGTAACCGACGTAAAGCCTCTCCTAAAGTTTTCAAGTAGCCATCAATAGCATCTACGTGTGGAATTGGCTCCTTTATAAAATCTAGTAAAGCTGTTTGTATTTCTGAATCATTATGTTTTTGTTCTGTAATTAAAAATGGATATTAAAACTTTAAATTGATCACAACTTAATGGAACATACATTTAATTACATACTTTTATTAGTTTTCAAAATAGGCTTCAGTGTTTTAGACTTTTCAGATGGTATGTTTGATGATACAAACATATCATTTGAAGTGTCTGAGTAATCTCTTGTAATTATAAATCATAATCATATAATTTAAATATTATCTACTAGAGAATAATTTTTCTAAACATATTTAATAACTATATTTCTAAAACCTAATAAAAACAAATTTTAATTTTTAAACGCATACCATCAATTGTATGTTTTATTTCTTCCCATAAAGCCAATTTTTTCAACTTGGACCTTTGTTTTATATTTAACCGATGATCATATAATGAAGGTCTATCCATGACTGCCATTATGAGGCATTCATCAAACTCTGGATTAACACTTTGGAATTGCGACAATGGTTCTGTATCTTCAATATTACAATCAGTTGATTTTTGTGCTGCAATAAAAAGTTTGATAATAACGTTTTATATAACGTACATATAATACATATTATAAATAAGGGTTATGCGTTTCGCGAGTTTTCTCCGTGTCTTGGTCCATTCTTGGAATGCCAGCGTTTCGTGAATCTTACAGTCCACTTCATCAGGGCGAAGAGCAGCCTGATACTGAGCTGTTCTTCCAGCTGTTCCTCCCATAATCTTTCCCCTCCCCCAAACCTTCTTCCTCCACTACCCCATCACTTCAACAGGCAGCGTAATATAAAAAGGAATGGCCTGAGAAACAGCTCAGTTATGTTCTGTGAGCTCAGTATCAGGCTGCTCCTTGCCCTGATGAAGTGGACTGCAAGGTTCATGAAACGTTGGCATTCCAAGAATGGGCCCAGACACAGAGAAAATCCGCGAAACGCTAACTCTTATACAGAAAGCACCCATGGAAGCCTCAAGAAGATTGTCACATATTATAAATATATTTATATACCAATAGTAGCTACAAAATTCTCATCAATGTGTAGAAAATGTATAGTTTCATTGTAGTCTTTAAAACAATGATGTTCTAATATATTTTCACAATAAGATGCCATTAGCCATCCACAATATCCACACCGAATTTGCTGGAAATATTAATAAATCATTTAAAATTAATAATAAGCAATATAATATTCCTCTTTACATAAAACATTGTTTTATTTAAAATATTTAGAAAAAATTTAAAATCTAAAGAAAAAAATGTATACTTTAAAAGTTACTACCACTGGGTGCTTTCCACCAAGGACACAGTCAGACAGTGTAACACAGTGAATCATTACATCCTTGTTCGCCTACGTTAAACAACAAGGATGAAACGATTCACTGTGTTACACAATGTCTGATTGTGTCTTTGCTGGAAAACACTCATTATTATACATTAATCTATCACTTAACCTAATATAACCTTATAACTTGGAAAAATAATTTCTAATAAATTAATTTATGAATACTTTATTATTAAGGCTACGTTCCAAAACTTTTTCTCCGAGAAAGATTTTACTTTATATGTTATAGTATATGTTACGTGTACTATATATTTCGAGTAAAATTTTCGGTAATTATTCAGTTTAACTACCCCACCTCAAAAATCAATAAAAATAGGCTTATTCGATGCGTTATTGAATGAAATGAAAGAATCTGGCAAAAAAAAGTGTCGCTCTGCCC